TGCGAGCGCTACCACGGTGACTTACCTCGATCTAGATGTATATGTTAGGGATAAAAGATACACACCAAGATGCACTTCAAAGATGTGCACATGAACAACTATATTAAGACTAATAGCTGCCACAATAAAGTGTGGTTGGATAGCATACCAAAAAGCCAAATGCTGAGACTTAGGAGAAACTGTTCAGAAACCCAGATTTTTAAAAAACAGGCGCATGGTATAATACCACCAAAGTAGAAGACACTATCAAACATAATCTAACTCTGAATAGGAAAGAACTGATACAAAAAGTAAAAACAGACCGTAAAAAAGACTTTACACTGCCTATTGTAATGGATTTTAATAATAAAAACAAACAACTTAGGAACATTTTAAACAAGCACTGGCACCCCTGCACGGAACGCTCAAGGTACAGACCACAGCTGCGTTCACGACCCCCGGGGGAAAATATCACAACAAGCCCACAGCGGGCAGGCAAACACTACATGGGCACAAAAAGACAGGGAGACTCGCAGGGCCCCACACCACTGCTTAACAGCACTCAACCATGGGAATACAACTAACTCAACCACACTGCACAGGCAGCTACCACAACAACATGGCAGACGAACACCTGATGAGCAGGGACCCAGAAAGCATTATCACGAGGCTCCGCTCAGGCCACGAAAAGCATTGCCCCGAAAACCAAATCCTCCCGGTGGAAACAACCACCATATTGATGGTAATATAAGTACTTGTGCGCTAGTAACTGTACTGTACAAACGAATGTAACACAAGCAGTGTAAACTCTGCATTAACCCACCTTTTCACATTTCTGTACAACCGTTTTGAAAAATGCAAAAATAAAGAATTATAAAAAAAAAAAAAACAAGCACTGGCACCTTTTAAAAGAAGATGAGATATTAGGTAAAATTATACCTGACAAACCAGAGGTAATCTTCAGAGGTGCACCCAACCTAAAGATGCATATAACAGAAATTATTTACAAAAGCCACTCCAAAAAAACTTGATAATTTTATGACAAACAAAAAAAGTTTTTTTTTAAATGTAACTGCTATATAGCATGTAAAGACAAAGCTAACATCCAAATTAACTACTGCTTTTAAATCTAACAATACGGGCAAATCATACAATATTAGACATATCATTACATGTAACAGTAAAATTTTTATTTATCTATTGGAATGTCCCTGTGGACTCCAATATATTGGCAGAACCATCAGACCCCTTAGAGTGAGAATAGCAGAACATTGTAGAAACATAGAAAAGGGTTTTGCCAGCCACTTTGTTTCTTAACACTTTTGTGCACATGAAAACAACCCCAAATTGCTCACGTTAACTGGTATTGAAACTGTTGACAAACACTGGAGAGGTGGAGACATAGTAAAACAAATTGGGAAGACAGAGATGAAATGGGTATACTACCTAGATACCCTACATCCAAAAAGTCTTAATACTGAATTTGATCTTTTCAATTTTTTATAACAGACTAAAAGTTTTAGATTTTTTACAAACTTTTTAAGACCTTTATTTTTTATCTGAAATATTTTTTTATAATTTTCTTTTGCTTCCCTTCAACTTTTTTTATCATATATATATATCCAATTTTTATATCTAGTGTGACTCGTGCGGCGCACAGTGGAATACAGGAACTTGCCGATCATACTCACCTATCACCTCGCCGTATCACTTCCGGTGCGTCTCGCGAAACCGGAAATAGGAACCACCAGGTAGCGATCTTCAATCAAGTTTATCCCAGGACGCTTTGAGGACCACTCCACACTTTTGATAAAGCCTCTGGAGAGGCAAAACGCATCAAGTGGGACATATCTTAGGACATTTTCATTGTACCTATCTTTTTTATATATACTTTTAATGCTTTTTATAATAAATAGTTATTTTTTATATATATAACTATTTTGTATCCTGTCTGCTACCCGGTACCATCATATCCCTAGGTTGGGATAATACCACCCATGCTGTGAAAACTAGAGCAGGCCTTGCTCTAAAAATTGTAAGTACATTACTTTTTTAAATTTCAGTTTACAGTACTTACTACACTATCCAAGTTTTTTTCTGTTCTTCTACTTCTATATTTACCATCAATATCTCAATTGGCATCTGGAGGACCAGCACCACCCATACTACCCTATATCCTCAGACGGGGATTATACCATCCATGCGCAATACAGCAGAGCTCTGATATAGCTCTACCAAATGTGAGTGGTTCTCCTACAGTTACTAATCCACTATTTTGCACTTTATCAAATTGTACTGTACCATTATTGTCTTTCTTTTTGTATTATCCTGAGGTTTTTTACATCATATCCTCTGAAGTTTTATGTATGTATGATTTTGGGCGCAGTATACGCAAGGTCCTGGGAATCCTTGTATTGTATACAGCAGCCCTCACTTGCTTGTTGTACTATAGAGAGCGCCTATAACTTTTGTTTCTATTTGTACTTCCTGCTTATATAATGTAAAAATAAAGTGCGCTGTGCCTTTAAGACTCAAAGTAATTTTAAACAGTGAAAAGAATTTGTGCAATGCTGTGCAACTAAAGTGATCAAGTGCATCAATGTGCAACACACTTAAATATATAAATATACAAAAGAGACTCTGTATAGCCGGCGCCGAAATAGAGACTACACAGACCAGCACCAATTATATGGAGGAGAAAAGTTAAAGAGGGACTTACCTGCCTGACATAGCGATTTTTAAAGAAGCAATAAAGGATTTTACTTCACCACAGTTTCCAGCTTATATTATTGCAAAAGAAGCCCACAAAGTTTAGAGCAGACTTGATTGCTCTACCCTTGTGAGTGTTTTTGGTTCATATTTTCTTTATATTTATTTATTAACATATTACCCTATGATTGTGTATTTCCCTTCTCTCTTTGAGACACATATTGGATTGCTGACAGAAGTTTTAAAGCAAATTCCATAATTGGGAAAGATAAGTATTGTCCTTTTGCACAAAATTTGTTGCACAAAGAAATATTTTGGTTTGCACATTTTGTATATTTATATATTTAAGTGTGTTGCACATTGATGCACTTGATCACTTTAGTTGCACAGCATTGCACAAATTATTTTCACTGTTTAAAATTACTTTGAGTCTTAAAGGCACAGCACACTTTATTTTTACATTGTCTTATTATTTGTGATTGAGCTTTTTTCACTATATATAGTGCTGCTTATTAACCCCTTAAGACCGGAGGGCGTACTATTACGCCCTATTTTAGGCGGCTCTAAATGCCGCCGGGTGTAATAGTACGCCGTCCGGTCTTTCTGTACTTACCCGGTCGCCGGCGAACCCACGCCGGCAATCGCGGTTGGGGGGACTCCCAGGGAGCCCCGCGCGGCACGTCCGACCCCCTGGCAGCCCCCCCAGCCATGTGAGAGTGAGGTCCTTGCGAGGACCTCACAATCACATGGCCGGGATAGCTGCCTCCTGCATTGCCAGCAGGGGGGCTGCCTGTAATGACAGGTAGTCCCCCTGCTGGCTAGAAATAAAATTTAAAAAAGTTAAATCAGTGTAAAAAAAATATATATGATCTAAGTATATATATATATATATATACACATATACATACACACACGTACAGTGTATAGGTGTATTTTACTATTAATATATAATTATATATATATATTAATATCAAATTACACGTAGACTGATACTGATAAATATATATATATAATTATTATATATATATTTATATATAATATAAAAAAAAATGTAAATACGTTAAAAAATAAAATAAAAAAAATAATTAAAAAATATATAGATGTGTGTTATTTCGTTCTAATTGTATTGTGATATTAATATATATATATATTTATATCAAAATACATGTAGAACGAAATAATATATATATCTATATACATAAATATATACGTATATATCACTATATATATACCTATATATAAATAAAAATATTTTAAAAAATGATATATATATATATATATATACATATATATTCACATACGTATATATATATATACATATATTAATTCTACATATATATTTATGTAATATTTTTACATAATTAGGTATCTTAATTAATTACAATTAGCGGGACCTGCCTGACAACCCATGCCGAAAGTAAAGGAAATTTAATTTGCTAGCACTATATTTAACCCTATA